CATGAACTAAAGTCTAAATATCTATTAGAATGCGTTGGCTTTTTATTAACGCTAGTGTGCAGCTTACCTTCTGTTCGTTTTACTTTACAATCCAATATAGCTAATTCTGCTTGTTCATTTTCTGATTCAAATGTGAATTTTATTCCCTTTTCTAGTGAGTTTATATGTGTCAAGAAGTTAGAGATATGTTCTGTTTTTAACACTGTGAAAGCGTCATCCACATATCTCCATCAATTTTTTGGCGTAGGATTAAGTGTTTTAAGGGTAATAATTTCCCAGCTGTCCACAAAGATATCTGCTACGATAGAGGATATTGGTGATCCCACTGCTACACCTTCTGTTTGTCTATATATTTTGCCCTGGAATTCAAAGATAGTGGATGTGAGGCATAACTGAGTTCCTAAAATAATTTCCTCAATGGGCGGCTTTGTCCTATGACTAAGTTCGGGATCATCCGTTAGTTCTCTTTTAATTGCTTCTAATACCATATTGATTGGGGTATTAGTATAAAGACTAGTTATATCAAAACTAATCATTTTTTCATTATTCTCTAATTGAATATCATTTAGTTTCTTTTTCATCTCATATGAATTAATTAGCCTAGAGTTGGGACGATTTCTAATGGGACATAATGTTAGGGCGAAGTGTTTTGATAATTCATACGTAGGAGCATTTCTGTAGTCTACTTTTATATTGTGATTGAAATGCAGAAAAGCTTAGTACAATATGGCAACAGCAACATTCGCCCCACAATACGAATAAAACAATATATGTATATATATTAAAGGTAAAAATGTATGTGGAGAACGGATAAGGAACTTCATCAGGAAGGAAACAGTCATACTTAACAAGTCCAAACAGTATTCATAAACTATCATCGGGAAGGAAATTGCAGCACGTGAGCCATTAATTACTTTTCTTGGCCATATCCGATAACGTCTCGAGCCATCAATTCGAGCTATCTGTCGGACTGCAACCATGGGGTCGTTAGGCATCAGCCGATGCTAACCCAGCATAAATATTCTTCATCCCACGACGCCACGTCATCGGGTGACCACTTTCCCGCCTTTCGCATCCTGTCCCAGGGATAGCGTACTCGAACGCGAACTCAGTTATGCCTCACATCCACTATCTTTGAATTCCAGGGCAAAATATATAGACAAACAGAAGGTGTAGCAGTGGGATCACCAATATCCTCTATCGTAGCAGATATCTTTGTGGACAGCTGGGAAATTATTACCCTTAAAACACTTAATCCTACGCCAAAAAATTGATGGAGATATGTGGATGACGCTTTCACAGTGTTAAAAACAGAACATATCTCTAACTTCTTGACACATATAAACTCACTAGAAAAGGGAATAAAATTCACATTTGAATCAGAAAATGAACAAGCAGAATTAGCTATATTGGATTGTAAAGTAAAACGAACAGAAGGTAAGCTGCACACTAGCGTTAATAAAAAGCCAACGCATTCTAATAGATATTTAGACTTTAGTTCATGTCATCCGTTATCTGTAAAGGCTGGCTTAGTTAAGTGTCTAACAAACCAAGCAACAGCACTACATAGTACAACAAAATAACTAAATGATGAAATAAAACAGAGAGAAGAAGCGTTGGTTTTAAATAACTGTCCTTTAAAATTCACTAGGAAGATCAGAAAATATCAAAAGCAAAATAAAAATAATGGTGAAACTAATAATGATAACATATATAGGAGAGAATATAAGGCATCTACAGTTGTACCATATACGGAAGGGACGTCTGAAATCTTACGTAGGATTCTTAATAAAGCAGGAATTAGGGCGGCATTCAAAACTACAAACTCACTCAGAGACAAGCTGTGTAGGCTAAACGACCCGGTGGACCCAATTAAACAAAATAATATAATTTACAAAATACCTTGCAATGACTGTGAGTTAAGTCAACTACATAGGTCAAACTAGTAGGTCCGGGGTAGTCGGATTGTCGGAACATAAGAATTTAGCTAGGGTTAGAAACATTGACTCCGCGAATATAAGAAATCTAGAAAACAGCTCAGCAATTGCACTGCATGCATTAACAAAATAAACAAAATAGGGTGCGAGAGGGTTGAAGTTCTAAGAAGTAATATAGGTAGGTAGGTGGAGAGAGAGAGATTACTCAATCCTGGTTCACCGAGTCTACACCCAACACATGTAACAGAAATGACTCAAGGCAAATACTAGAAATTTGGAAGATATTATTGCCAGACAAATCGGAGGAGGATAATAAATATACGTGTAAAACTTTGGCACTGTGTTAGTAAGTTATTCCATAGTAGTTTGTTTATTAGATGTATCACACAGTTAAACAGTATTAATTACTGAATTACGTTTCGAACAAAATTTATTGTTCATAATCATGTCAATTATAATCACACGACTTCGAAACCTGAGTTTTATAGTTTATAGGGTAATAAATGATCTTAAAATTCTATTTCAATTCACCTACCTTATAACATTCTAACAAGTTACTTATTTGACTATAAAAACATTTGATTGTACTTGATTGATAACACTAATATTATATCTGAATGTACATTATCTTATATTGATTTTTATTCAAATGTCTAATCAATTTCACTCATGTATATAAATGAAGTAAAAAGTTGTGTGAGTGACTAAATATGATTATGAGCAATAGTTTGCGCTCGAAAATTCATCAGTTAATATTACTGTATAACACTGTGATTTATCCAAAAAAAATCCTATCTTACAAGGAACCGAACATTTCTGAGCGTGATTGTTGCTTGGCATTGCCGAAAAGTTTTAAACTACGATTAAACAGGTATCCATTGCTTTTTGATTTTCTGTGGTTCGTTAACTGATGCAGATTCATGGTGAAGGCTCCTTTAGGATCTATACATTTTCTAATAGCCTCAGAACAAAGGTATATATTCAGCTGACAGTATATATTATTGCTTAATTCAATGAAATAGATGTAATCACGGAATATGTTGAGGTAGAAGTATTAATCAATTTACGACAGTGACAAAAAATAACTCTTTACTCTCCTGCTATCAATGTTAGGCATTTTAACTGCCTACTGAATCAGCATATTAGTGTTTATGACTTCAATGTGAGAGGCTAAAGCATCTAATGATAATAATGAGTGCACATTATTGGTTTAAGCACTAGACGCTTTTGCAATAAGTCATAAGTTCAAATCTCATTCCATCCACTTTGACGTAAAAGCACTTATGTTATAAAACTATGGGAGAAATATCCTATGACCGTCTTCTACAGAAAAGGATATCTACGAAACTCTATCAAAAGGCAACCAACCAACTCAAAATCGGCTAATAAAAACAAAGAAAATAGTCCTACCAAATATGAAAAATAACTCCGAAGTCACTGCAGGACTATTGAAACATTTAAGAATAGATATCCCTCACAGACCTAAAAAGCCACTTGAATCTGTGCTATGTCAATCAAAAGGCTTAACGCCAAAGAAAACATCAGAAATATGGAAAATATTACTATCAATCGGATCGAGAAGTAAACGAAGTCGAAAGTCATGTGAGTGCCTTGATATGATTAAGAGCAATAAATTGTCCTCGAAACGCCATCAGTAAATATTACTGTATATCACTGAGAATTTATCAAATAAATCTCCTCCATGATGGAATTACACTCTACCATAGTGCTCAAGTTCTATTCTTATATCAATGAAATTGTAGCTGGTTGACTAAAGCGCTTGAATTTCAACTATTAGGTAACGACACCAAACTCTACTTCAACTAGGACAGTTTTAGAAATCAAGTATCAGTGTTAACGCTTATATACATGCCTCAGTGCCAAGTGAATAAACTCAATTGCTTTGGTGAAATGAATTACCTAATCTGGTGTTCATTTTAATCAGGAATCCACTCAATATGCCATTTTTGTACACGAAGTAATACGCAATACAAACACAGATACTATTGTGGTGGTGTGATACAGACAATGTGTACCAACGGAATATTATTCTCACAGCTCAATAAGGCATTAGCAACAGAATACAATATATCTATTCGAACATTCTACTTGATTTTAGAGACAGAAGACTTTTCCCACGGTTATATACTGCATTAACAAAAGAATGCTATGTATACTTGAAAACTCTATTTAATGTCGTTTAGTGTGAACCAAAATCACACCCTCAGTGATTGGTTAACGAATATAAACTGTAGATATATAAACAGCAGTTTGATTAATGAAAAATATACCTTGGCTTCCGTGTCTTGCCTTCTGTTGTTACACTATGATTACTAACTGATTTGACACTCCATTTATAATTGCTCTATTGGTCAAAATCCAATTAACAACACCTGAATGACAAACGTCTATTTCAGATGTGATTGACTTAAATCTATGCTGTAATGTAAGAGAGTTCGCACGTCTAGAGCTTAGACCACCAGAAGCTTTGATAAATGTATATATTAGCTGGATTTACTATCTTCTAAGTCGTCTTCAGAATGATACATCATACTACAAACTGCCATAATTTTAAATATTCGAAAGTGCCTATAGTGGGTTAGAATGGTAATACAACAAAGTCATGTGGGTGAATATTACAGAACTTTGGCGGACTAGCTAAAGCACATGGTGTACGACGAGTGGAACACTACTTTGTATCGCACTTCACCTACCAAGCTTCCAACATTTAGGTAGTATCGCTAAAACTAAGATAATATATTTGATTTATAACCTAGAATACCAAGCCGTACTAAGTTTTTGAGAAGTATACACTATTACTCACCAACAAGAAACTATGGGAACAAACAAAACAAGAACCAATAGCTCAACAAATATGCAGGAGAAAGTGGAGATGGATTGAACACTCGTCGAGGAGACCGTTGGGTGACATCGCGCGTCAGGCCATCACTCGAGTGGAACCCGAAAGGGAGGCGGCGAGTGGGACGTCCAAGGGTGACATGGAGGAGATCGTGTGAAGAAGAGCTGAAACAGTATGGACTAACATGGATGCAAGTGAAAAGTACAGCACAAGACAGAAGCAAATGGAGACGTGCAGTTGAAGCCCTATGTTCCACTAGGAACCCAAGGGAACAATAATAATAATACACTATAACTGTGGATGAGGATTATATGTTAGATAGAGGACTATTTCTGAATTACCGTTTATTCTCTTCTAATTCGCATATATAACGACGCAATTTTTTTTCCTCGGTGCACAAAGAATATCGACGTTCCAGTTCAATTACATATAGAAAATATGTAGACATTTGGAAAACACAAAAGATTGAGCGAAGAAATATTTACTTTTCAATTAGATCCTCTTCTCTGGCTCTACTCTAATATATAGCATTTTTACAATACACAACAATTTACCAAACAAGTGGTAATATGTTTGTTAATAATAATTAAAGTGTCAAAATGTCAATGGGTAGATAATTAACGCAGAAAATCAATACACATTTAAAAAGTAGAAATGGATAGAATAAATTAATTTTACAAGAAAAACACGTAATTAAAGATGAAGTGGTCAAAATAAAAATAAAATAATTTGGACAATTATAATTTAATAGGGGGAGGGGGGCGACGTAGTCCTGTCTTCGCTCAATCTTTTGTGTTTTTCAATTACATATCTCTGACGTTTAGCCCGACTAGCTTGTGCAGACAGTTTACTGCGAATCCTTCGTCTTACTGTTGCTGTTTCGTCCGCTTGACTTAATGGAAATCTCATAGGTAACCGACAACCAATTTGTTGAAACAGTCTACATTCTTCCGAAGTTAATTTAACAGTTGCCCCTGAAAAGCGAAGTAATAGATCACAAAATATATAAACAAAAAACGTAAAAATATTAGAGATAGTCTTATTTCAATGAGCAGATATTTAAGTAGTGGGCTATCAATTGTAAGTAGTGGGATGATGGCTCAAGTGAAATCAAAACTTTTCGATAGGTTCAATAGGTTTTTTAACCAAGTCAGTAAGAGTGCTAGGCCAATAGCCTTACTGACCCTCTAATCCAACTAATTCTAACGTTGTTGTAACAAAAGTATTCGTTTTAACTTCAATCATAACCACATCAAATACAAAAGAGGAAAAAACGGAATCGCAAAATGATCCTGTAAAAACCCAATGCAAACCGTTTTTCAGAACAAATCATGTTTTACGTAAAATAGATTAGCCAATTAAAATTTTCAGGGCCTGTATTAACTGACATACATACAGGACCTCTTGATCATATCTAGTTTTCCTTTACTCAATACAGTCAAGCTAATTCAGGTAAGATGAAAGTAAAAGCAGTTTTAGCGTAATTAGGACAAATGTGTGTTATCCATGACAATAAGTAAGGAGTGCATGGAAAACGGAATGCTTCTCGAATAAAATCAGTGACAATACCTCTTAAATGTAGTTCGAAATTCATCGTGCTGGCTAGAAATAGATTTTGTTTTGTGAAAAGCTGCAGAAGATGGTCCCCTTAATCTGATTAGCGACTACCTAGTCCCCATTGACCACCCACACGACTGTCCTCTGAGCCTAGACTCCGTACCTATGCATTCAAGCTCCCAACTAGCATTAAAAGCTTTATCGAAAGCGCATGCTTGAGTACCCTCAGTTGAGTTTATCCTTTTATTTATTTAAATAAAGCAAGAACAACAGTGGTTTGTGCAGAATAATATGGTACCATCATTCTGCACAAACCACTGTTGTTCTTGATTTATTCAAATTCATCAAGCGGAATAAATGCAGGAACTTTTATTTATTATTTACTTATTAAAATTCCAACTTGGTATATTATGGGCACCAAGAGATCCACCACACAAAATCTCTTAGTTCATGCGAGTGCTGGGGTACTGCTCGGACGCCCAACCCGAAGCAAGTACTTGTCTTGAGGGGCCACCACACGCATTCAGCCTTTGACTTGCAACCTGATCCAAAAGGCAATAGAAAAGCGTCTGACTGGTTTCAAAATACAACTTTGCATAGAAGTGCGGCAGTTTGGGTTGCCACACTCCACAAAACAAACGAAGAGAAAAGAGAAAAAAATTAATTCGTAGGAATGATAATAAGTTAAAACATGAGGAACAAAGAATAGTAACATAAAAAACAATAGGGTGTAATGGGTATGGCAGATCACAAAGAGTGAAAGCACTTGTGTCAATGAGAACGATTTTGAGTCATATCACCAATTGTCTACAGCCATTGGTTCGTACCATCCCGGAGACTCCAACCAGGAAGTCTACATCTCCCTACGTGTCTTAGACTAACTGTTGTGGATTTCATTGACTGATGAGGCTATGTCTTGGTTTGACCACCACTAGCTACCCCTCTTCCAACATGTCAGCTAACATTGCTCATCGAGGAAGGGGATGGCTTGTCATGAGTAACACACGTCCTCACCATCTCAGTTGGTGTAACTTCACATCTTAGTCGATTCATTTCCCCTCATTACCTAGCACTCAACGACTAACCTCAACATTGCTCAGCCTGTTATACCACCTAACACGGGAGTTCAAACGCAGGCACCTATGATCAAAGACAGCTAGCCAGTTTTTCATCTCTTCCACTTTCAATGGCCATGTCTCATTCGCAGCCATAAAGGACGATGGATTGGACTGCTGAGCAGTACACACGTCCTTTGATCGACAGCCGGATATCACGTCTATGCCAGAGATGATGCCGGTTGGTAAGTGCCACACGAGCTTTTTGTATCCATGCTGGGGTTACGTCAGTAATCACTCCATTAGTGCTGATGCAACTTCCCAAACAAGTGAAGTGGTCAACACGTTCTATCACTTCACTCCTTATCTTTAAGCTAGGAGTCGATGTAGTCCATTCCTGTAGCATCATCTTACATTCGACAGGAGAGAACCGCATGCCAAACATTCGAAGATTTCTTCTCAAGGTGTTTAGAAGACTGCATTTTGTCAGCGTCATCACCTAGAAGGACTATATCATCCGCATATTCTAAGTTAACGAGATTATTCCCTGGTGGTAACAAGTCAATCCATGAGTCATTGAAGTCAGTTAGGACTAAGTGCATTAGTACATCTGTGATGAAATTAAACAGAAATAGTGACAGTGGGCATCCCTGACGGACACCACTAGTTGTCACCACTTCAGATGACAACTCTCTGTAGGCTCTCACCTGGTTGCATGAGTTCGAGTAGAGTTCCTTGATCAGTGCGATGCATTTTCTCAGCATTCCCTTCACGGCCAAACATCGCCATAGTACCTCTCAGTCGATGGAGTTGAATGTCTCCTTGAGGTCAAGAAGTATGACAATTGCTGGACGCCGGTAAGTATGCCTATATTCCAGAATCTGTTGAAGGGTGAAGATAGAATGAATGAACCTCCTTCCTGGTCTAAGGCCTGCCTGATTTCTTCGTGTTTGTTTCTCACAAGCACCACTTAGTCTGCGCATGATTATTGAGCCTAGAACTTTAGATACCATATTAGTCAAGCTAATCCCCCTGTGGTTATCACAGTAAGACATGTCTCCCTTCTTGTATGTCGGAACAATCAGTGACTTACACCAGCCCGATGGGACTTCCTCTGATTCCCAGACGCTGCCTAGAACCTCAGTTAACGCAGACAGTAAACTGTCTCCGTCGTCCTTACGCACCTCTGGAGTTACGAGTCTTACCTCCACTAGATGTATTGATGTTTGGGGAATCAAATAAGATCACAAACTCATATAGTGTACGCATTCGCATTAATGTGCGTACAAGCGACCGGCTGAGGTTTCTACGTGGAAGTTTGCTCGAAAGTACAGCAGTTCAAACAGTCACACAAACAAAGCTAGCAGACAATAGAAATTCTAAGGAGCTATAGTGAACTGGAGAAGGTATAGGTACAAAGAGGGTTATAAGAACTTGGTGGATCCAGAAGTTATTAAAGCGAAGATGCACCAGATTCCTTTTACAAATTCATCCCGAAAAATTACAAACCTTTTGATTGGTGCATAATTGCCTAAAATGAGTTCAAATAGCTTGAAGACACTTTGACTTTAAGTATTTGATATTTAATAAGACAAAAAACATCATGATAAGTGAATAAAACGTTTTTACTGACAAATCGCTATTCCACGCTAATTATAGAACATGATTTAAGCAAATACGTATTGTCGGTAAATTCTCATCAGGCATTACATCTACATAATGAAATATTAATCATAGGCTTTTGAATAAATGTAGTTAATAAAATATAGGATCAGAGTTCGGGGATGTGAGTTGATGGATGACAATCAAGGTGATAATAATAATAATAATGACAAGGATAAATTCATTCATGTGTTTATATAATCTAGGCAACGGTGAGTGTATAGGTAGAATGTGTACACTATTGGGGATAGAGAGGAAAATAACTATTGTCATACAGCGATTAGACAATATAATAATAATAGTTTGTGAAGCTGAGAATAAAATGTACAACTACGGCACAGCATGATATCGATAATACAGTTAGCATTACAGATCCCCACAGATAGCTGCTACCTTGACGTGGTGGTCGGGCTTGCATATCACAATGACACAACAGGCTACATTGGGTGGAACTATTGTTCCTGCAGTTCTTACATGCCAAGAAGGTTGTTAGGATAGCGATTAGACTAAAAGCAGTCACCGGGTTAGTGTAAGAATTTTTTTACACTATGCTGGGGATCTGTTGGCGAAGTCGTACTGCTGGGGAACACGGATGTAACAGCAGTTAAGTGTTTCCGTTAGAAGACCAGCATGCCAGCCATGCCTTCTCTCCACTCTGGTAAGAGGTAGTTAGAAAAGGTCGACCCCAACAACTGTACATCCCTACTTACCTTACAGTTGTCCGTAACCGGTAGTAAATTTACTAATACGGAACCAAATCAAGAAACCAATTCATACAGGCCGTGTGTGACCGGCTTCAAGCATTTGTCCACTGGACTCTGCGGTCGCGTAACACTAACTCTCTTACGGTTTTAAGTGCCCGAAGAACCAGTTTACTTCCACCGTGTGTGCAACCGGGAAGTAGCAACCGCCCACATTTTCGCAAAAGCACACGAAGCCCTCCTGACCATCATTCTTCTTACCCACACCACCTTCATCTAACGTCCCTACTACAGTCAGTACTATTCTGCAGGCTTGTGAGTCATCTTCACTTCACTAAGTGACCAGAAACAACTATGAGAGCCATAGAAACACCCTCCTCAATCTACGTCGTAAACTTCAAATAGGAGGATTCAACGTCAATTCGGAAAAGAAAACATTAGCAGGAACTCTGGCAACTCGAGCCATAGATGTATGTTGTGCTTCGGAGACACGCATACAAGTTCTGAGCGTGGTCAATTCAATTCAATTAACCCCAGCCAACACTGCAAAATTCACTTAATAAGCGTCAGGCGACTCCTCAGCTAGTTTGCGAGGACTCGCAGGTGTAGGGATAGCATTGAGTGTTAGGGCAGAGAAATTCCTTCCTGACGGGATACCAGTAGATAGTCGTAGGTGTGCGGCCCGTTAGAGGGTAGGACGGAGTTACCTACCGCTGTGTTTTCATAGTCTACACTTACTCCCTAACAGACTGCAGTTCAGATGAACTAAACGATGATTTCTTCATGATACTGTCTAGTTTACTCCAAAAAGCATAATGTCCAGGAATAGTTATTTCAGCAGGCAACTGCAATGTCCAAGTAGGGAAGTTATGCCAGACTGAGAGGTTTGTAGGTGGTACGTGTGAAGTTCCCTGCCAACGAACCAACAACGGTGATCGTCTTCTGCAGTTCTGTCCTGATAATCATCTGTTCCTAGCCAGCACTATCTTTAGGTACGAAGAGAAACATTGCGTAACCTAGCGACCTTAATCACCAAATCAACGCCGTACTTAGATAGACCACATAGCGGCAGGGTATCGCTGGCGAGGGTCATCAGGAGCATGTCGCTCCCTCTGGAACACATGCGAGCACTCCCATCAAGCCCTGGTTCGCGCACATTAATACTCACTTCTCAACGGATATAAACTGTTGGCAGCGAAGCAGTTACGTCCTCAACTAGAACGAGACTCTGAGTGCCTATTAAAAAAAGCGAAACGCATATCTCAGATGGACAGCGAGACTCTTCCTGAGGAAGCCTGGCACAACATATAGTTAGCCGTGGATACAGCTGTAAAGGTGGTAAATTCACTAGCATTTAACAATTATCTCCAAGATCATCACATCATTAGGTATTCTACGAACATATGTTATTGGTGCTCTATATAACTGACACTAGGGATCACAAATTTGCTAAAATTGAGCTTAGTTGGCCTACTATATACTGTGCAGTTTACATTGAAACTAGTAGATTAAAGTCAGTAAGATTAGTTTTATTATTATTTCCTTCAGTTCCTAGAGGAACATAGGGCTTCAGCCATGCGTCTTCATTGCGTTCGGTTCTCTGCCAACGTTCACACCTGGCTCCACATCTACCCACACGTTTTCATTTTCTCTTCACATCTCCTCAATGTCGCCCTTGGACGACCAACTCGCCGCTTTCCGTTCGGGTTCCACTCGAGCAATGGCTTGACGTGTGATGTCACTTGATGGTTTTCTCGGAGTATGACCAATCCAGCTCTTGCATATTTGTTGCACAATTGGTTCCTGCTGGGTTGGTTCGCTCCCAGAGATCCATGTTGTTGATCTATTTTGACCGGCCATCTGATCTTGAGTATTGAACGAAGACAGCTGTTGATGACAGTATGTAGTTTGTTCGAAGTGCCCTTCGTGATGCGCCAAGTCTCTGATCCGTATTGTTGCACTGACTTCACATTGGAGTTGAAAATCGGTATCTTATCTTTCATGCTGAACGCTGTTGATGTACACACCGACTTGAAAGCAATGAAAGCTTGCCTTGTTTTCCCGATCCTCGTCAGATCCGCCTGTAGTTGGTTACTTCTTTCAGATTTCTCCCATTTATGCTGATTGTTGTGTTACCGTGGCTGTAGGGTTGGCCAGGAATCATCACCTTTGTTTTCTCGCTGTCCACCTGATACTTCTGTCAACTTGTTGCTTTTCACTTGTTGGAATACAAGAATTCATCTTAAATTAAAATATATATTTTTAAAATGAAGAAATAATCGGCTAGTGTTATGCTAGCATCGATCGCCAAGCGAAATTAGGAGGGGAAAAATAAAATTAACTACTTTTTATGTAGTGATAATAAAACATAAGTGAATCGAGACACGTGAAACTACTACACCAATAATTAATGAGTATACTACTAGTGACTCTGGCCTTCGATAAACAGCATCCAGCGCAAGCTGGAGCTTTTCAAAGAAGTGACTCACTGAGTGAGCACCATAAAAAGCAAAGAATGCAGTACAAGTACGATGAGTAACTTTCTAATGCTATTACTAGACCAAAAGTGGAAATTTACATGCTTCACTCCACTCATGATTCAAAACAGTATGCGCAAAAAGAGTTGATACTGCAACATGCGAAAATGTCTGATCGAACCAGAGATTGTTGTAAAGTGTAAGTGAAAACACAAAAACTACTTAAAGTAATCAGTCTTCGGTCACTACTTATCTTAGCGAAAATCCACGCTTAAATCTCCATTGTCTAGTATATATTTTAATCGATCTACAGAGTGGTGACAAACCGAACTTGACCACCTCTAACTCTTACCTTAGATGATCCTACTCAGACAAGAACTATTAGTCGAGGTGGGCAGTGACGTAATATGTGCGGCTTATATCTCAACTAATTTTCGCAGCTTTACAAAAGCACCAATAAATTTCATTAATAGTGACAGCACCCAAAGCCCGCAACCAGATCACACAGTTGATAATTCGTTATCTTATGTATCCTAGTCTCTACGACTGTTTGACCTCTACTACAACTTGTTTTGCACATGAAATGCAAGTCTGTCGGAGGCCACTATTATGCTTGACAACCATCAAACAGTATTTGAACTAGAGTTGATACAACTTGTGTGAAACAGTGAATGCATGTAGCATCTTTACTCGCAACATTATAACCAAAGGTCGGTAGTCTCAAAACAACTTCCTGAATGTGATGAAGGATAGAAACGAACAATTAGCATATTTGCGTTTGTACAGGCCGTTCTGAATCTAACTGCCATTAACCACTCAAGACAAGTGAATTCCCTCTAGTTAGAAAGCCTTTCTGTGGGGTAGATGCTGTAGTTATCTGTAGCACGACATTACCCACAACTGAAGACAGTAATCGCAAGTGAGTATCTTGTGTCCACTCCGAGTCACGCTAGGAGTGACTAAATTCCTGTCCTAAACGCCTGACTGGATATATGTAACTTTGGTGGTCTTCTCGAAAATTTGGGTAGAACCAATAAGCTACACGACCGTGTGAAGACTGATTGTTCTCGACCTATGCATTAATAAATGTCCCACTCCGGTTATACCCACGCTTACAACAATTCTAACCTGTCCTTTGATGATGCCTTTTTATGGTAAGTGAAGATTTTATATACCCACTGTCAACTGAAATAACGCTGGTCGTGCTTAAAAAGAGAGCTGCGTTCTGAATTAAGTCTTCCCGTTCTGAAGTAATTCTAGTCCGTGCTTTACATGTCCTGTGAGGGCTGGAAGAACGCTGACAAGCAAACCCAGCAGGTTCTAATCTACTCCTGAAAATGCCTAGAATAAAAACAGGTTGCTGAATTAGTGGCTGTCATGCTGAAAACCTACACTGAGTAATAGTCTCTGCCGTTAAAGAACCCATTTTAGAACAAATTAAGAATTTACCCACCAAAATTATTTCAGAATTAGTGAGATATAATTCACCATTATAATCAGCTTGGGTACTGGACAATGGTAACTAACTCCTCGGATTCAGAATAGTCATCATGCAAATGAACTTCTGTAGGCCAAAATATATGATCTCTGACCATCATCTTTCTAAAAAATTCTTTAAAGACGTCGATTTTAAACTGTTTAGCTACTTTCGTATTTACAACAGATTCAGACCAGTTTAGATCAGGAAGATTAAGTTAATGTGCCAGTAGCATACAAGTACAGACATTCTTAGATACTAGTGTCTGACGGATAGTATTTATCGTTATCCTGCCGAATAAATCATTCTGAGACTTATGTACAAGAATCCACATTTGAAAATCATGAGAAACATGTGCTAACACGTTGTTTGAGACTGTTACAGGTCAACCGAGAGCCATGCCTAGCTAGCCACACACCGGTCATACTAGAAACGACAAAGTATGGTGAAAGTATTATCAGAAGATAAGGGCTGATACGCGAATGAGCATCACTACCGCTGTAGTGTTTAAAGCAGACAATCTTACAAGCATGCTGATGAGTACGAAACTTCTCCAAGCTTGTGAGATATGCACAGAAGGTAACGAAGTAGGCCTACAAGTGTTCAATCAGACCGAGCAGATACCTTTCATTCAATCCTTTCAGTTGATCTACAAAGCTAGTTTTCCAGGCTTACCTCTAACATCATGCGTGACTATGAAACTGTAGTATGATTGCGGTGGCTGGCGGACACATTAGCGTGCTCTTACATATGTTCCCTCTAAAAAACAACGCAATGAGAAGTATAGTCCAGAAAACTTGTAATGACCAATCATTTAAGTGGTATGAATCGAGAACTATGAGTTGCACCAACACCGGGTCTTCCGTGCTTTACAGGCTTGTAGGTTATTGAAAACTCTCCAAGGTAGTGGCCTAACATCTCAGGCCTGATTTCGACCGTGTTGAATGACTTTCCGTTATAAACACCGACAACAGATCCAATCATTTCAGGTAGTATGATCATATCTCTGACGTGCGTTTTTACAGCCTGAAATGTCAGATTATAAAAAAATGTAGCTTACAGCTGGCTTTTCGCCAAATGGACATTCTTTTTTGCTTTTCCTTAATTTCTTCAAGAGTGTCATGTGCTTTCGACGTAATCCTCGGTTAATTCGTCTACGTATGCGTGCTGGCATAAGCAGTGCAATTTGTTCCCTACAGTGAATATCAGTGTTAGTTCTCTTTACTTACCAGTTCATATCAAGCAACTGATCCAGATCAACACCACGATAGAAAAACTTCTTGAATGGCCTGCGCTTTTTGCTAGTTTCATCCGCCTACATGATCCATAGAGAACAATACATGGAGACTTACCATACTCCTTAACGTGGAAATCTTAACTGACCGCTTCCTGCCGAAACCCGCGAAATGTACTTTGTTGAAGTGTCCAATTTGCAAATGGCATATATAAATACCTCTTTTTTCCTCAAAATAAGGACAATTCATTTTTTGAATGCCCGTGCTACATAACTTAATGCCACTTAATACTTTCGAATTCAATAAATCATTTAATGAATTCCTTACTTCAGAATAGTCTTGATATTCCGCCGTGAACAGTATTTCCTGACACCAATAACTTTCAAGTCATCGTCAGTCCAAAAATGAGAGAATGTTGCTCCTACACATTGACCCTACATTTTCTGTACAGTTAGGTATGCTCAAGTAGATAAAACATTCTTCGATCACTTTGACAAATAACTGTCCTCAGTATCTGGTAACTGCTTCGCAATTTAATCCGTGAAATTTATTCGTGGTCAACTCAGTGAACCGTAAGATATCAACCAAGCAGAGACGATACAAAAGCTGAGATTTTCAAAGTAGTGTACGCTTCTTCGCTCAATTTTTTTCAGTTAATCACTGTGCCCGTTGCCATAAGGTAACCGTTTGATTTACGTTATTGAGCTACTAGCTATTCCATTGATTTCTCAAAACAAAGGCCTCGACACGGCATTTTGGATCAGAGAACTAGACTAAATAGAGCGAATCATATCAAAGTTTGTCATGAAGCGTCTACAAAAATTAGGAAATAGTGTATTATGCATGATATATTCTAAAAGTAAGTTGAATAGCGAAACAACGGACCAAGTTGGGAAAATTTGTGTGAAACGGTGTAGAAACAAACCATCCCCAGTTAGCTAGCTAACTAGTTTTCTAGCCGGTCCCAACCCCTGATAAAGGAGGAGGGTTGGGCGTAATGCTAGCAACCCTAGACCACTAAACCTATTAAACCGCTAGAGAAACTTCAGCATACAAAAATATTTTAAAAATATGGAAATTCAAAGATCTTATTGGAGAGGTGAAATGACGCAGGCTGGTGAAAGTTTTCGGGAAGTCGGCCAGCCGATGTGTCTTCTCTCGATGAAAGCATGAATACGAATGAGGACGTGGAATGTCCGTACAATGTACGAGACTAGGAGGGCTATCCAAGAAGCCAACGAAATGAGAAGACTAGGCGTAGAAGTGCAGCGTATGTGCGAAAGCAGGTGAAATGGATGCGCATTACCGAAATCGCAACTAGGGAGTCAGTAATCTACTCAAGCCACCTAGACGACAACCATGAGCACACTAAGGAAGTGGCGGCAATGACGCCACCAGCCAAAGCTCTTATGCAGTGGGAACCAATCTCACACAAGATAATGACGGCAAGATTAAACTTGGAAGGAATGGAGGTCACTATTATCCAGTGTTACGCACAGGACTACAAAAAACAACGCGGAACAATAAAAGAAGGAGGATTTTTACAGACAACTACAAACAGTAATGGACAACATCCCAAACGGCGATATGAATACCAAACTTGGAGGTGATGATGCAGGAGGAGAATTCATTATGGGTCGAAAGGCCCTCGGTGAAATGAATCAGAAGGGAGGATTATTCGCAAACTGCTGCTCTTTCAATGATTTGGTGATCGAAGGGAGCGTGTATAAACACAAAGATATACACAAGGCAACATGGATTTTGCTTGACGGACATACCACAAACGGATAGATTTCATATCAATCTCAAGGAAGTGGAGACACAACCTGCTGAACACAGTCTTAAGAAGGGGAGCAGATGCGGGCTCAGGCCATCATCCAGTTTTATGAACCTTCGAGGTGAAGCTGAAATCTCTCAGAACAACTGGAGACAGGTCGAAATTCAAGTCCAACATTCAGAAACTGAAGGGCGAAACCACAAGGGATGCCTTCACTAGAGATCAGATCAGAACAACTTCGGAGACACCACGTGGCATGACTGAGGAGACCCGTGTGGAAGAACATTGGGACTCTCTGAATGTGATGTTCAAGGAAACGTGCACAACTGTTCTGGGAAGAAGATAAAAAAGGGAATGGCTCTCAACAGATACCTGGAAGCTAATTGAGGAGAGGAGGATGACGAAAGAAAATGGTGATGACTCAATGCAAAGAAGGAGGAGCTGAGTTCAGTGTACACTGCACTGAATGAAGAAGCGAAGGCGAGTGCTAGAAAAGACAAACGGCAATTCTACGACACACTGGCAACTGAAGCAGAGCTGTCAGGCCACAGGCAAAAGAGATCTCCGGATACTGTGTCAGATAACCAAGTCTCTACGCGGGAAGAGATCAACCCAGATGACGAGACCAATGAAAGTTGTGGGCTACCTTGTCAAGCTACCAAAGAAAGGCGACTTGCGCTCTCCTCTGTAAGAACCGGCGCGGAATTATGCTCTTGACCAAGCCAAGTACAATACTGAGTCGCATAGTTCTGGGGAGAATAAAAGATGCACTGGGTACAGAACTCAGCTCGGAACAAGCTGGGTTCAGGAAAGGCAAATCATGTGCTGATCAAATCGCAAATCTACGCACTGTCATCGAACAGAGCATAGAATGGTGGTCAAACCTCTACGTAAAGAAGAACATCAGTTCCACTTTCCCCTATTTAGCCAATGACATATATTACTAACTAATCAGGGAGTCCTGCCACTAAATACTTCTGTGTTCTGCCGTCACAATGGGGCTAGGTACTGTTGTGGTGTATGATCACTAAGACGAAATAATTACGTCTGCCTACCTGGGAACGTAACCCCTAAACCGAAAAATCCCGAAGCTCTTAACTTTCATCATGGGAGCTTCGTTCTATGTTAGAAGCTTCTCTTTCTAGCTTTTCTCTCCGAAATTTAAAGCTAGTTGGACCGTCTGGTGAGCGGCGCTGATTGTCAAATACTTACGGGAAAAGTGTAATAGAAATATTGATCTGAAATCTAAGGCATTTACATTATTAACCTCGGTGAACCTTTGAGCAGACGAGAGCATAATTTTACGGTATATTTCATTATCAAAATTTTACTAGTTTTGGTTTATCAGACATGTTATTAGAGGCAAGTTACGTTATGAGAATGCGCCACGCTTACTGAATAATACCGGTGTGGTGGCAGCCGGCTGCGAGCAAGCCAAAATTGTAGACAACAATATACCTAAGTGTTAAGTCCAAAATCAGGGTCATGAGAAGAACCTTAACAAAGCTTAGCCTTGAGGAACTCACCAGCAAATCACAGCAGACTTAACGTGCGCTAATAGGACTCGCAGATTTAAGACTTAACTTTCTGGGAAACGGTCACGAGCAGAACGGAGTAAGCTTCAGCAAGAAAACAACCAATCAGAAGGCGTTTCTTCTCCACTGACAATAATGTACATAAAAAACCATAAACACCCTTTGATTTTCTCAATAGACAACCTGTTGCCTGACTCTTGTTTTCTGTCGTTATAGTTGTTGTCGCTGCCTCCGGACAATGAGGACCCCATAGCCAACTGCTATTGAAGAAGGAGATATACGGAGCTTCTTACGTGACTTCGAGGCTGTTGCTGAGTTATTGGGTGCCAAGGAGCGAGCGGCGAAAGCGTTTGTGCTGGGGACGGTGTTGAGAGGCCAAGCGACTGCAGCATACGACAGCGTAGAGAGGTCAGATTGCACAGCGTCTTGGAAGACATTGGTGGAACGATTGGTGTCGGAGTTTGACAGCACAACAGACAGGTAGCTAGGAATGCAGCAGTTCCGTTCCACAAAGCTGGTACCTGATGGAGGCCCTTTAGTGTTGGTGATGAAATTGACGATTCTGCTTTGATGTGCTTTTAGATGAGGATTCAGAAGCGCAGTTACTGACTTCCCAGTTCATCGGGAGTGTTCCAGACCACGTTTATCGGCGATCGCTGTGCAACCGATGAACATAAGTGAGCTGGCGAAGGTAGCTAGAGAGCTGCTGACCACAACGGTAGCCACGATAAAGCCACCAAAGTTGAACGAATGCAAGCAGAAAGTTGAAGCGTTGCAGGGTTAAGGATGAGTGACAGGAAAGATCGATGTTTCGAATGTGATAAGCTGGGACACTGGAGGAGATACTGCACCGAAACCTTTAGTGTTTGAAGTGGAATGACAGCATCTAAGCATGTAATTGAGTTATGGCAGAAGATGCTCAGAGCTCCCGAGAGGTCATCGGTAGTGAAGTACTCGCCCCATTCAGGGGATCTTAGCATTGATTCTAAGAAAGCCCAGTTTCCCTTACTATGGTTCCAATATATATTATTTGTTGTGAAGTGGAGATATAAGCTGCATTGCTACTCAGTGGAAGTGGCAGCGCACACATCACTGTTTTGTGGTCACTACCTGAAAACTTAGAACCCACTAAGATTGAGAGGGGGCTTATATCATGACGGAATATTAAGTGCAGTACGTTGTCACCTCTTGTAGGGATAGTGGCAGTTTGTTTGCAGCCGAAAATATCCAGTGTCCCTAAGAGCTTGTCATACTTAGCTGGGCCTGTTAATAAATCCCAGTGGATTTCAGGTAGGTTGAAGTCTCCACATATGATCTTATGCTCGTATGGAAGAGTGGACGCTTGCTCCAGTGCATTTATAAATCGAGTCTCGTAATCACTAAAGGTGCCAGGTGCTCTGTAGATACATCCTATTAGTAGTGTAGCACTTTTGAAGTGTTCGTCGACCCATGGGTTTTTGTGAATGTCACTGAGTGCCCTATTTTCTAGCTGTAATACAGTAAGTGTGTTCAGGAAGTACATTAGGCAGCCTCCTCCCTTACAACTGCTCCTGTCACATCGAAAGTGTGTGTACCCATCGATGCTCACCTCTTCGTCTGGTAAATTGGAGTGACACCAGGATTCGGTAACAATGATTATTGGGGGTTTATATACCAGTGTGTGTGCCCTGAGCATTGGTAGTTTGTTAAGGATAGATATAGCATTAATAAGGATTAGAAGAAGTTGAGATGTGAAACAATATTTGAAGTATTTAAGCTTTTTAATCTGGCCCGAGTGGGGTTCACCATCCACTAGTTCCACGTGGCATAACAACCCTGTGTTGCAATTAGTGTGAGTACCATGTTCACCTATGTCTATCGAGTTACTTTCTATTTCTTTCAGTGAATAATGGGTTTCACTATTGGATTCACTATAGGATGAGGTAGTTCTAGGCTTG